TTTCCTACACCTTCTAATAAATCTCTTATCTCCATGATTAACCCTGCTCATGTTCCTTTATCACCTCGCGCCGCAGATGCAAATGATTTGAGTGCACGTAACGTTATTCCCGATATCCTGAAACCACGATCTTAACTACATGTACAAGCTCTTAAAATCCAAATACTGTCCCAAATAGGACAACAAGCTTCCTTAGCTAGGACTTTAGAATCTCGTGCCATCGATGTATGCTGCGTCACCAGAATTGATTACATCAAGTGGTGTTGGTCAGGGCTGTCCACTCTCTCCATTCTTATTTGACATTGTCCTTGACGTGTTTTTAGAGGTAACACTTTCCTCATCTAAATTTCCAGTTGAACTTCTACCAGGAGATTCACTTGTTGACTTGGAATATGCCGATGACATAGTTCTATTTGGTGAAGACGCTGACAAAATTCAGAGTCTTCTGACCACTCTAAGCAACAATGCAAGCATGTTCGGCATGCGATCCTCCCACTCGAAATGCAAAATGTTGCTTCAGGATTGGGTTGCATTGACACCCGGACTAATGTTAGGGAGTGAAGTAATTGAGCATGTCGATCGCTTCACTTATCTTGGAAGTCTCATTATCCCTTGTGGTCTGGTGTGTGACGAAATCTCAGCACGGATATAGAAGGCTCAATCAGCTTTCGCCAACCTGCGTCATTAATGGCGTAGGAGAGATGTCCATCTATCAACCAAAGGACGGGTTTACTGCGCAGCAGTTCGTTCCGTCCTACTTTATGGCAGTGAAATATGGCTAGTAAGAGTAGAGGATATTCGTAGGTTACTAGTATTCGATCATAGGTGTCTTCGAAGCATTGCTCGTATATCCTGAGACCACTGAGTAAGAAGTGCGATTGTTAAGACATGGGTAACAGATAAGGATGGCATATCAATTGATGAAGTAGTGAAACTTCATCAGTTGAGATGGCTGGGTCACGTGTTACGTATGCCCAACCATCAACTGCCCCGACGTGAGATGTTTTATGATGTAAGAGTAGGTTGGAGGAAGCTTAGGGGCGACCAGACCACAATATGGCATAAATCCACGAAGTCACTGACAAGTGGACTGAGCCATGTTGGTAGGTGTAGACGACCTGGTTGGAATCCGTGAGACGATAGCAAACGATGATCAGAGACCTTGAATGATATAGCTCAAAATCGTTTGCGATGGCGCAGGTGCATCCACTCTGTTTCCCCGAATTCTAATCTGAATTCTTTATGCCCCTTTTTACTCTTTCCAAATTTACGTCACTGGAGTATACTCCCTAGATAACATCTTCAAACCCTAATGTTTCCGATTAGCACTTTTACTTTTACTTTCAAGAATATTTATCAATATTAAACATCAGATATTTTTCACTTTTTATGTCTATTTTATAGCTTAATATTTCATGGATAAGACTAACCAATCATTTTGTTCGTTTTTAGTTACTGTTTGATGATGACGTCTTGTTCTCGTTTTTAACTGACCTTCAACATCTTTATAACAAACAACAGAGTTTCAGTTTTCATTTGAGGAAAAACATAAGTAATTTTAGAGAACAAAAATCAGGGTTTAGCTTTTGAAATTGTTAGTTGAATGAATTCATTTCATACAATAATGATATAACTAAGGAATTTTCAGTAAAAACTGATTCCATCAGTTCGACATACTTGAAATTCCATTGTATGAATACTCTGTTTAGCAGAAAAACCCTCTCTTCATATTTATCTAAAGTTATTTATTCTCTGAAGAAGTGGCTTACACTGAGTCACGAAACGTCAGATAGTCTAATGTTTCTACTCATTCCGATATTACAAATATATTACTTTTTATTAATAGCAATGCTCAAGTTATTTGAAATTATCAAGTCAAACCTTGGTAATGATACCTTAAATACGTTGCTTTATAACTAAAAACATAAATTGATGAGCGCTGAATACTTTCAGATCAATATTTCGTGGTCCACTTATAATGTTGTATACCTATATCACTTTTCTCAGATTATCAATAACAAAATTCAAAATTATCTACTGCTTTAGCACTTGGCAGTTCCCTCAAAGTTTTCTGTATTTTTACCTTGTTAAATAGTCAAACTCACTTCCAACAAACTCATTTAGCACAGATCAACGAGTAAATAAGCAAGAGATAGCTTATTACATTGAATTATGGATTATAACGCATTCAGAATCGGTTTCACAGCTCTTCAGTGTAGTTGCTTCTTCGATCATGACACTATTATACATTTCAATTTCAAACCCTTAGAAAATTTAGTCATATTCCATAAACATTTTCATATGTAAAGCTCTAAACGGACGAACTCAGATCTAGACACTAATATAAACTGAGAGTATAAGAGATGTGTTGGCGTCAACACAGAGCAGAGTAAACTAGTGATTCAAATATACTATAAATAATTTCAAGACATTGTGCTTCGAAGTTTTTAGTGGTGGTCCAGATTAGATGTACACGTTATTTCAACTATGGAAACCTGTTACCCACAAATATGCTCAAAGCTTATTTGTGAACCAAGGGACTTAAAGGAAAACTAGCCATACTATATACGCTTATCGCATTATTGCTGTAGGTATGATGTTAATTTCAAAACTCAATCCATTTCTTTGACTTTCTATTGTATAGAACAAGTCGGACTGACTTTGTGACTGTTTAACCGTGATAGGAACTATAAGCTAAAGGATACTGTTTGGGATTAAGTGCTAAAAATAGAATAACTTGTTTAAGCTTAAAGAAAATCGAAAGAATTAGTGATGGGTATTATGCTCATATTGTCCTGTTAGGATATGACCAAACACAGCTTATAGAAATATAGAGATCCACATTGAATCCTCATTTGAAATGTTTTGTTTACCCAACATTAGTGTTTGAATTTATACTTAAAAAATAAAAGGAATGCTCATCACATGTTTCCAGAGGGTGCTTTGAATGATTATACACACAATACACCATAAAACTACTTTGATGTATCTACCTGATAAATGTAATACGTAAGGAATATTTATCGTCAATTGGCTTGATTCGAGCATTGTTTAGCCTTATTATGATTGAATTTAATATTTACTACCGGAAAACCTTTTATTGTATGTCACGGGTTTTAAATATCACTCTGTGGCACAGAACTTCAAAAAATATTGTGATAACGTCTGACGAAGGCATTAATCTCACACAAATATAAATATACTTCATGAATTTCCTTCTTGTTTGAAGGAAATCATATGAATGTGCCATTTCTTTCCAAAATAACAATGGTATATTGATCTTTGTAAGTGATTGATTAAGATGTTTCCCGTCAGTCGTGTCTAATTCCAGCGCATTATCATTGTCAAATTAAACACCTGTTCCAAGTTATACTTGTATGTTATGAGCTTTACGGGTTTTTAAAGTTATCAATTACTATCTCTTAACAGAATAGCTCAAAACGCCTAGTGTAAATGCCTCAGATTTACTGAATGACAGAGAAAGTCATTTATACACTACTCATAAATGCGTATTCGCTCACTAAGTAACTTATTTTAAAGTAATTACATGAAAATTAACCGATAAAATAAAATTTACTGCCTCCAGTCAATGACAGCTGATTTGCCCTATAAATGAGCAGACACGATATCTGGAAGAGACTATAATTTATGGACGACATTTGAGCAACGCTAAAATGACCTTAAAAATATCCACCTACTTAGTATTGTTAAATGATGGTTATAAGTTGGTGCAAGGAATTAGGATTTACAGTTGAACGTTGGAGTTGGAAATTAGGTTTAACGTTTTCATAACAAATTGACATAATTTATAATGCCGAATTGGTATTTAGCCAAATGAATGGATGAATTTCGCGCCGAAGTCCAGGACTTGCTATCGTAAATCTAACTGGTTCGTCCATAAATTATAGTCTCGCAGCAGTTTGTCAGATGATACTTTATGTTAAAAATGTTGTTCAAACAAAGCCAAATACTACTGTGGTCTAACTCTTAAATGGATATTCAAAATATTTTGTCGGAAATATATTGTTTTCGTTCACGTTTCCATAAACTATTTGGGACATATAATACAAGGGGCTATTTATAACTCTTTTTAGATTCATAAGCAAAGATGGATAGTGGTTAGCAGTGGAATCCAGGACAAGGCGCGTTTTATCCCATTTGGAAATCGTCAGCCGGATGTACCTGCATCTTAGAGTTGATGTTCACTGACCAATTGCAGTCCTAAACATTCAAGTAAATAATACCAAGTGAATTCAAACTTCACCCCATTGCAAAAGCAAGTGGCTAACAGCAATCAGTAGCTAAGTAGATAACGCTATGGCGTTTGAAGCGAACAGTACTGGGTTCGAGTCCATGAGTGAACACCAACTTTGAGATGCAGATACATCCAGCTGACGAGTCCCGAATAGGACGAAATGCGCGTCTTGATTTCCACTGCTAGCCACTATCCATCTTTGCTTATAATACTTGTGAATTAAGGCAATATCGAGGCAATACGCATATATACCAATAAGAGACTGATCAAGTTCAGTCCAAAACATCAATGGGAAGATTCAAGTAAACAATATCAATTGAATTTAATCTTCATAGCTTCGTAATATCACAAATATTTATTAGAAGCTTGAAGATATAATCCTCAAGTGTACAATATCTAGCTACAATTTTTTTTTAATTCATGGTTATTGATTTGATTGTAATAAAATATCACTCAATTAAGGCATATATTCATATTATACCAATAGACTCAACTGTGGTGATAAAAATACTGACATGCATTTTGTTGATGTGTTTTATGTATCACAAAAATCAGGCGTAAAATTCAATCTTCCTGGTTGGTTGATATAGATACAAGGCCAAATATTTAAACTTTTATTGCATAGCACAACAATTACTTATCTGTTGAGCTTGATCATGAATAGATAATAAATTTTGATGCTACTTACTAAAATATTATTCAGTACATACCAACTAGAAGTCCCTTGATCAAGTGATGTGTATTTATGGAAATGGGTAACTGTATTCCATCTGGTATCGATCTGAACGACATGGTTCACGCACCCCAATCAGATAAACTAAGAGATAGTTCTGGAATCTTGCAATGCAACACATGTGAGACAATGGATTATGGAAGTAGTCCCAATGATTTCGGTCTAAACGAAATGGATTCTGATATAAAACTTCCCCTACTCACACGAATATTCTCACGCCAGACACACAACAATAACTCAAGTAATGGTGATTTTCACCCTGATTCACTTGGAAGTAACGGGCTATTTTCACAAAACACTGGTAGAATAAACGTATCTTCAGGTTTAGTTAAACAGGACATGAAGTGGAATTCGCAGCTTGCGCGACCAGTGTTGGAACTACTTACGACTCCATCCATGAGCAGAGAACTAGATACTCCAAGTGAAACTCAAAAACTATTACCTTATACTGCCGAAAATATTACAAATGTGGAAGTAAAACGAAATTCTGATAAAGCAAGAGGTATTACAAACGAGGACAGTGGGATGGAAAGCTGCTCAATAGACAGTCATTTAAAAAGTTTATACTTATATTGTGACGTCAAAAAGAACGACTCAAAAAAATCATCACCTGGATTGGAATTTAAAAGTATAACCAGTGAAAACGTTTATGGAAAGACAATTCCACTAATGACGTGGTTTATCCAAGAAAAGAGAAAATTACTGAAAGTGCACAAATTACTGAAATAGATTCTAGCCCTTCCATTATGTCTAAATGTTCTCTGAACAAAAATCAAGTGGAACCTGTACTACCCTTTTATGAAGAATGGTTATATGACAAAAATAAACAGAACTTGAGCGGCGATTCAACATATAGCATTTCAAATTATCGAAAGCTTTCGGGGGAACAAAGGCGAGTCCAACCACTTGTAGCCGTAGCCAAAATGACTTACTCTCAAAAATACCCTCATGAATTAAATGTTTCAGAAGGAGAAAGGTTACTGATACTTAATCGCGTGTCGGCTCCACGTAATATAATTGAAGGTAGATCAAGCTCATTAACAAAAGATGAGGATTTCTGGCTAGTTGAAAGAATTGAGCTAAAGCATATGTCTAACCACTGTTCACGGAAAGGATTGGTGCCAGGAGAATATTTGCAAATTATTGGTGATTCCTTAACCACCCACATTTCCTGGTTTGATATTGACAGAAATGAAGCAGAAAGATTACTGCTTTTAATGGGTAACCCGTCGGGAACATATATTATACGTCCATCTTCAGGTAATTAATTTTTATTGAGTCGGCAACGCAAATATTCTTTCAGTTTTCATAATTAATTAACGTCGATAAATATTTATGATTTTCAAATACATATCAATCTAAGTAAATGTAGCATAACGACCTGACAATATATGTATATTATAGGTAACAGATTATTTATATACCAAAGTATCAGCTTAGCCATCTGTTCATGATGACGACCTTGAAGATTGAAGACTTCAAGACGATTTTTATCAAATCAGGGCATTGGGACAACTGATCTGTTACTCAGCCATCTTGATGTATATTTTAGGCGTGCAGACGTAAAAACCAGTTGGGGGGCATTAGCTGAAATGCTTTTAGCAGCATGTAATTAAGATGATTGCGAAAAGTAATTATGACTAACAAGGAATCGTATGTACCGTTCCCCAGAGCTATTCATTTAGGTTTACTAATTGTACACTTAATCACTCGGTACTCTAGAATGTAACATGGGCATTTAATTTTATTTATGATAGCAAGTGTAAACACGTTTTCTTAACTGCACTTGTCGTTATAATTAAAACGGATTTATTTGTTAGTATTTTATATTTTATTAATTAAAGTCTTGGAAATAATGGTAGGTCCTGGTTTCTGATTTAAAGTTGTACAGACAAACCACCACAATTTTTATAACAATTAAATACAGCTAACTAAAAACTAGTATTGAAATAATTAGCATCTCTGTAGCAAACACAGTTAATTAGTTCGCTTACACATAATAAACTGCATGCTGCTTTGCATAATCCTATTATTAATTCAGATAATTCTGTATTAGTAGTATTTCAACAGATTGTAAAAGGGGTTATTTTCTCCACTTGCTTATGTATATATTAGTTCTTACTATATTAAGTAACGTGTAAAGGATCTTAGTTTTTCTGATACAACCTTAAACCACGTAAATGCTAGTTCAGACGAAATATCGAACATACGAAATATCGAATGTACTTTATTCTATTTAAATAGAAATACAAACAGAAGAGTTTCATGAATCTGCATCTTGTTAGTTCCAAAGTTAAATTTAACTAATATTTGTCATGACTTGAAGTGGAAATATATAATAAATCGAAAACTGGAAATTTTTCCAACAATAACTAACTAGATATCGATAACTGATACTCCCCACTGGTGAACGTTGTTTTACTTTCGATGTTATAGTTAGTACGTTTATGAATGACTCCAAACTGGCATCTGCAGTTAAACCAAATGAAATTTATTGGCGTTTTCTATATGACTTTAGATTCAGATGAGACATTCGCTCTATCAGTACGGTATTTGGACCAATCGACACTGATTTGGTCAGTGAAGCATTACCGAATAAGATTTAGATTGAAAGACGAAAAATATCATATATTCCGGCGCATTTCATTTCCGACTATTGATCAACTGGTGGCACACTATACAGGTAAATCACGGACAATTATGTTCCTATTCACAAAACATCGGAAATAAAGTAGTCATAGTTAATTATGTAACAATCGGAAATAAAGGTTAGACAATTAAATTTTCTAATAAAGTTCATTAACATTGTTATACGAACCCAAATAAAATAAAAACTTTAAGTTGCTTCTTTTGCTACATTTGCACTCCATCAGTTACTTAGATGAACTTCAGGTTCAGGAAATATTTTTTTATCAAAGTGAGGTGTAAATAAAACAATCTGTTCAATAAAATATCAACTTTCAAATAGATAGCATCAAGCTTTTAGGTGAATAAAGGGGTTCTAGAATACAGCCGTGTCAGTATGCTACAAATTTCCAGAAACGACGATCGAAAACATAATCTATGTCGAATTTCGCCAATGACATAAACAGCTATAATCCATCAAAGTCTATTTCAACTGAAAATATCTTTAGGATTAACAAAATGTGGTTCACAACCCATGTAAATTCATGTTTAATAATTCATAATATTTTGCTTATCATCAAATCACGTTTTCACTATACTTAACGAAAACTGCTAGTTTTTTTTTTTAAAAAATAGGGAATTCCTTCTGTGATAGTAAAATCGCTTTTGTGAATTAATTCCAGTTCGCTATCAAATTTCAGTCATGCATTTCATAGTGTTTATTGTTTGTTATTGTGCCTTGAAAAATGAGCAAACCTACACGATATTATTCTCTGTTTTTAAATACACACATTCGAAAGAAGGATCTACTGTTACTAACTATTAGCAAATCACTATGTTTAATCAATGTATTCAGATCACTTCATATATATCTTAGTGAAATTACGGTCGTTGGTCTCAAAATACAGAAGTAACGATAAAACGCATTATAAAATATCGTCTGATTCGGTTCGTTAAGAAAAAGGAAATGGGGATGATGTTCAACTTGTTACATCCCATCCACTCTTTCTTGCCAACTGTAACCTCTATTAGAAATAATGTTTTGTTTGTAGACCGCTATGTAAATAGTTTCCAATTTATCGGTTTAGTTTGTTCAAATGTAATAACTTATAAATATAATGGATTCTACTCCAAGTTCTATAAAAAAATGTAGAATTATTCACATATATTATTCATCATGGAAAATTGTTGAAGTTATCGTGTGTTTAACGTAAGTAAATTTTTTGTTTCTACTCGTCACAATTATATATCAGCTATCCTAATTACTTCTTGGCTGTAATAACCAACGTTTTGTCTTATAAAGTAAATGCCGATGGAATCGCCTGCTGCTTAACTACACCATATCCGAAAAATTACGAGCCACCAACAAAATTATCTTTGCTAGAAGTAAATCGAAATAACTTTGGATTCATTAAAAACTTGGACAAGGAAGCTTTGGTGAAGTATGGTATGGAACGTGGAATAATCAAATGCCCGTAGCGATAAAAAAATTACTTGGGAATGGTAACATGAATCATGCAAGATTTCTGAATGAAGCTGAACTTATGCACCGACTGAATCATCCGAATGTAGTCAGAATTTTGGCTGTATGCACACTCCCTACTAATGAACCAACTTACATTATAAGTGAACTAATGGAAAATGGATCTTTGAAACAGTATATGCAGAAGCTTAATCCTGTAGAAATCAGAATGAAGAATCTAGTTGAAATGATGAAAGATGTGAGTTTTCTAAGTGGAATAAATGTTCAGTCTCAATTCTTTTAACCAGCAAAAAACACTCTTTTAGGCAATATATCATACAATCTCCTAAAGACGTTCCGTAGAGTAATATGTGAAGTTACTTCTATTCCAAAATAATCAGTTGAAGTTAACGATGTAGTGAATGTTTCGCTAGCCATTTTTCTGTTTATTTGACCTTTTAGTCACCTTAAATCACTATAATACTGTTGGTTGATATAGATATTATCTGAAATAGCTCAGCCACAAACTGAATGAAAATCTACTCTTATGAACAATGATTTATAAAATGGAGGTATCGAAATCTAAACAAAGATAAGTAATAATTTATCAGTTAATGTTCTATACATTTCTTATTATATGCATATGTAATATTCATGAACGACTGACGCTGCCCATCTCGGAAGTGTGGTACTGATATTTCAAATAATCCCGTTGACTTCCGTTTCACCATTTTACAATCACATTTCTATGAAAACAAATTACGTCTAAAACTGACAACGTCATGTTACGACATAGGTTTACGTCTGAAAGTTTGGTTTGAGTAAAACTACAAGACACTTAGAAATGCTGCCAAGCTGTTTATAATAAAAGGCCAAAAAATTGTTAACTAGTAGGTATGATTTGTTTCATGTAAAGTGAACTGGGAAACTGGAATTATCTTCAAAGATTTTATTGAAACAAAAGTTAATTTAGGTCTACAGAGATTTTTGTGAACGCTTATCTTACTTGCAAGTGACTATCTTTGCTAATACATTTAAATTACCATAATTAGGTTTAGTATCACGGACTTATTTTAGTTAGACAACCAATGAGAACCAAGAAGCACTGAACAGCTATGATGTAAACCTACCGATTCAACATTCTCTATAGTCTCATATACAAAGTACAATAAGTAGGTTTTGAACACCTCTGTTTTTTTCTTAATACAAGGTTGTCGGAGGAATGGTGCATTTGGAGGAACAGCATTATGTTCATCGGGATCTAAGAGCCAGTAACATTTTAGTTGACAGTAAAAATAGACTTAAGGTGGCAGATTTCGGTTTGGCTCATTTGCTTAGTGATTCAGACGAATACATTGGAACGCTGGGTAAGTTAGTCTCTAACATCTGATTTCACTTAATTGTTTATATGTGATAGTATTTTGAACGCAGTCTATATTCCAAATAAGTGTTTTAAAAATTGTGTTTGATCATACGTATCACATGATACCTTTGATGTTAAGACTTTGACCCTGATGTCAATACTTGTGTTAATTCAAACTAAACAACTAAACGAAGTTTAAATAAATTAATCAAATATAATGTCATGAATATCAGTTATGGTAAGCATTAGTGATTCCGATCTTATCAAGAAAAAGCTCAAACATGTATGGGTTTTTTTTCAGTGATAAAGTAATAAATTACTAAACTACAGATCAAGCGTGTGTTTTTACTGCTTATGAATAATCATTCTAAAATGATTTAGAATACACAGTTTTAACAGTATTCCTGAGTGATACCATGTATATTCATCCATAAACTAATAGACTTCGACCACCTTACTTTAACAATTTATTACTTTAAATAAAATTTTGCCACCAGACTAGTACAATAGATTCTTTCCCAAAAAAGCCATCAGAAGGCAATATTTCAATTCGACTTGGCACTTGTCCAGTTTGTTATCATATCAAAGGAAGAAAGATAGCTTTTTTGTTTTAATGTGTGTATCTCCCCCCAGTCATAAATTTTTTCGAGATGAGACATGAAACTAAGTTCTATTGCTTATTTTATCATGTGCAGCTCTTAGATTTTTCTATCACTTTTCAAATGTTCTCACTCAAGTAGTTTAAAACTTTCTTGATATATTTGTCATTGAACGATTCTCTCCAAAAATATGACTGAAGATCATCTGGTAGGGAAACATTACACAAACTAAAATCTACTCGTTTTGGACTTTCCGCCCTTAAATCTTATTTAAAAACCTTTAAAATCAAAACTCCTCTCGAAACGTATATATGGGTGATTACACCAGCAGTCTGAACAGCTGGAAAAATAATCCACTAGAATCACCAATCATTAAGCTTGCTTGAGCTTCAGACTATAACATACTTAGAAAAAAAGCATGAATACGTACGTCTGACAGAAATTGATCCATATTAAATCCATTATTTTAGTAGACTATAACAAAGTAGTTTTTTCAGACGCTGATGTTTTGATTATTTGTTTACTTGAAACAACATTAGTTTATCGAACTTCTTTATTGACTTTTACCATTGCAACTGATCAGTCTCATCCGCGATATGTGCATGCTGTACCGATTGCCTTAATCTTGGTATTAAGCCACAAGAATTATAAACAGAGATGGTGGCTAGCAGTCGAATCCAACTCTGGAATACAGGTACATCCAGTTGAAAAATCCCGAAAAGGATGAAACTCAAGTCTCGGATTCCACTGCTAGCTGACACCTATCTCTGCTTACAATATTAATGTTGTTAAGTAATTACTTTGTAATTCAACCATTAAGTTTTTTGCAGTAACTATTGTTTTAATAATGAAATGACTTTTTCTGTTTGTCTGTCATCCTTACCGAAATGCACAACAAAAATCACAAACCATAAGAAACCAAATATCCCGTACGGTGGACGGCCCCAGAAGGGATTTTAAAGCAAGCTTATTCAACAAAATCAGATGTGTGGTCATTTGGGATACTGGTTCATGAAATATTAACCTTCTGTGAATTACCCTACAAAGGTCGGTTAGTGTTTATTAGCTTTCTTACTCTTATGTAACCTAAAACAAAAGTCCTTTGTATTTCTAACAATAATATGGCGTAAACTATATTCACACTCGAAATACTAGCTTTGCCACTCTGCACAGAATTTGATAATATATAAAACGGTTTATGTGTAGATGGGATCCTTAAGATTGCGTAAAAACCCAAACTACAGAAGTTTCGAACACAATATTGAATGCCATCTCTGAATTCCCAAGTTAACTGGGAAATTGGGCGATAAAGGAAACGCATTAGACTGCGAAGAGTTAAGTTAATAAATTAGGCCATATACAACCAAAATTTCCAACTCATTAGTTTCATGGGATTCAGTGATTGATTTCGATACAGTAATCCCAAATTCAACACAATCTGGCAAACCTGATAATGTTTGCTGCAATTTGAGTCAAAGTAAGACAAACGATTTAAGTGTGATGACATACTTGGTATTTAGACGAGTTTTCAGTCAAATGAGACTCACCATTCATCTTCTTCATTATAGCATCATTCAATAAACTATACACTGCTAAAATCTTTGATAGTAATAACACTAATCGGCTTATTAAATATTATATTCAAAAAACACATATCTGATAGTTTTTTCCTAATCAGTTGTGTTCGTGATGAACATCTACATTCGTTGTATTGTAGGTAAATCCTACTTTACAATATGACAATCATAAGCTTAGTTTATCCAGGACGTTTGCTTTAGGAATGATAAATTTTTATTCGTTTTAGAACCTTAAGTAAAGGTAATAAGGTGTACTTTGCATGTGGTACATCATTTTGTTATATATTAACCAAATGACACTAAACCTTTTCTCAAACAAATGAAAACTTAAAGTACCTATATAGCTTTCTCGGTATCATTCAATGACGGAGGTTATTCATAAGCGGTTATCAAGATAACAAGTAATTTTAATTAATATTTCATATAGAAAAATTTACAATATATTTAGTCCAATTATTAAAAAATAAACCATAAGAACTTGTTAATTACTTTGGCAGTAATAAATCGTATTTTCATTTGAAATAAACAATGGATCAGTTGAATATATCTTAGCTGAATAAATAATCTGAACAGTAGTGTGATGTACTAATCATTTACTGTCCAGGTTTGTAAACTGGTGTTAAGATTCTAGAATACAAACTAAGATATAACGTCTATTTTTAAACCTCAGTATTCCGACTTTCTGTAAATCTTAATGCTGTTAAAATGATACAAGAAGTATCATAATTATAATGTTCACTCATATATCACTTGTGGAATTCAAGTGCCGCTAAATACTAGCAAAAAGATATGAACAGGGATTTTAACTAAATGAGTGAAACAGTCAATATACTTTTTTAGACTAATCAAAATTACTTGATTTATCCACTGACGAACATCGTCTTCACGCCTGTATTGAAAGTAATTTTACTACTGATTACTGAGTATCCTTATGATAAATTACTTACCTTCATTTAAATATTTCATTACTGAAATTTCTATCCAATATCCACCATAAACACTGGGGTAATTTTACAAAATAATTATGGTTTTTTCCTCCTACTCCCGGAAGAATATTTGATGAATATCTATGGCCTAATAAGCATAAACCGGCCCAATATAATTGGAGAGCTACTACTTACTTACCTTTTACGCCTGTTATCCCTTGTGGAGAAGCATAGATCGCTCATCAACATTCTTCATACAACTCTGTAATCGACAATCCTTTCCAGTTCTTCCCAGTTTCTATTCATACTTTGCATGTCTCCTCCCGATTCCAGACTCAGAGTTTTCTTCAGCCTTCCACTTTTCAGTTTCCTTCACGGTTTCAAGTTAGTACTTGCCTTGTGATGCAGTTTGGTGATTTCTGTAATACATATCTATCCACGTCAAACGTCTTTTTCTGATTTCCTCTCTCTCACAGTAGACTCTTGCTGATGGTATCCAATCAACGAATATTCAGTGTCTCGAGTAGACAATTGTTTACAAGTACATGTACGTTTCTGATGATGGTTGTGGTAGTTCTCGAAGTTTCAGTTCCGTACAGTGGAACCGTCTTGACGTTCGTATTGAAGATTCTGATTTTGATATTGGATGACAGACAGTTGTTCTGAGTTCCATATATTCCTTAACTGTGGAAGAATAGATGTGACTCTTGATTCACCAATCCTCACCTTCACATCTGCATCGAATCACGCTTGTTCATCGATGATGCTGTCCAGGTACTTTATGTGAAAATTTCTACCTCTTCCAGACTTTCTTCCTGAGGTGTGATTGGATTGGTGTTCTCCGTGTTGTATTTGAGGATCTTGCTTTTTCCCTTGTGTACGTTGAAACCTGCTGATGAAGAGGCTTCTGCTACACTGGTTATCTTTAGCTGCATTTGTTGATGTGTACTTTTGTGTGTATGGGATAGAAAGGTTAGGTCATCTGCGAAGTCAAAATCGTCTAGTTGCATCCAAGCAGTCCATTGTATTCCGTGATTTCCCTCAGATGTCGAGGTTTTCATAATTCTGTCAACCACTAGAAAAAAGAAAAAGGGTGAGAGTGAGCAAACTTGTCCGACTCCGGGCTACTACTGGTAAATTAAACTTACTGATTAAATTGTAACGACTTCTGTGGAATTCACTCTTTTGGTGGAGTTTTGTTCTCTGAGCTGGATGGTTAGGTCGTGGAGCTCAGAGAACAAAACTCCACCAAAATCATCCACCTGAGCTACAAATCTTCTCCACCATCTCAAATTCACTCTTTTCTTAGTATTTATTTTGGTTGTATTTGAACTTTATAAAATCTAAGGAGGAAAACTCACTACATTCACATGTGTTGCAGCATATTTTCTTTGTGCCAACTACCGCTTTCGTTTGAGTCAGTTGCTAATAATTTGGAATTTACGTTCCATTACATGATCTATTGTTGCATAAACCATAAACTAAGGATAAAGCTAACAGAAAAAAATTTCGTATAACCCAGTACACTTTGCTGATCACTTAATTAGACTAACTGTCATGCATATTTATTTCTTAAATGATGTGGTTATTCATTCACTAAGGACAGAGGAAAACAACTTTACGTGCAAATACGATGAAAATCAATGTGATTTTTGGTATCGTGATGGTTTGTCGTCATTTTATGTATTAAAAGGTTAACCAAGTTTTACCGATAACTAATACGAAAACCTTATCAGATAATTTATACATTTGCACAAATGTAATTCACATTCTAAAATCCTATAACGTTATTAACTAATTTACACAAAGAAAAAGCTAGTAATAAGCAAGTGATTCATTATCATTGTTGCACCTGTTTAGATTAGTAATCAAGACCACCGCATAAATAACACAGATTTTATTGGCACACACACACACACACACTATTCCTAATATCATAGGCACTAGTGTCTTTACAAAATGCTTCAATAATTGAAACTTGTCCTCTTTAGAAGGCCTGAATAGAATGATGCGACATGTAATTAGGTGCTGCATATAGTCTGAACTATAAGCTCACTAAATTATAATCATGCTTATGGTTTAAAGGAGAACCGATTGTCTGAACTTGGTTGGTGAATAAATCTTGTCATGTGGGACTGTTTGAGAAAAGAATTTGGCCATAAATACAGAGGAATTTCGGTAATTATTCTCAAGAAAACTTACCATATTAATGATAAGGATGGTGTGAATCAAAACCTTGGTAACATTGTCTTATAAACTTGGTGAGATGATTTAGCACAAAACCTTACTTAAAAGACTATTAAAATAGAAAGTTTATTGACTCTCAAGAGTGAATAACTGGATAACAGTATGGCTTTTATATCCCCCTAAAATTTGTAGGCGATCATTTTTATTTAAACACTAAAATAAAAAGCAGCACACAATTGCTAGGATTTACACAAAGAATTTTACTCTTAGCTATTAACAGTTATTTATTTTATTCCTTATTGGTTCATATGGTTATTCGGTATTTCATAGTATTTAATCTTTATTCCATTTTCACCACAATTTCAGAATTCACTGTCAATGAAGTCAAAGTACGCGTGTGTTCAGGTTACAGATTACCTCGTCCCATATTGAAAATATCCTCCACAGAAACTCTTCTACGTGTAGATGATGAGTACGAGGTTCCCAAACGAAAAAGTGTAGAAACTTTTATGTGTCCTATTAATATTTACAACAAATTGCTTGAATGTTGGAATATTTCACCAGATAAAAGGCCATCATTTAATTCACTATATTCTTTTATCGAGGAATTATTAGAAAAAGAAATCAAGAAGGATATCAGTACAAAATAAAAACAGACCGCATTTCAAAACGTCCTGTTTAAATGCTCAAATATATCTTACACATGTTTTGTACTTATTTTATAAGCCTAAAAAGAAACCGAATCACTGATTTTTATAATTGCTTCATTCCTTTCAATATAAAGGTCTTAAGGCGTCGCTATTTCGTATCATGACCAATACTCTTGGTACTAAACCTTAAGTTTAGTAAATCCTAAATTTTAATCACTATAAAGCACTAGCAATGAGTAGATCAGATTCATACTTTAAGTTGTTGGTTTAAAATACAGATATGTCTTAAATATAAATATTTATTTTTGGCTTCCCCACAACACATTAAAATACAAACATAAGAGAAACAAAAATAGGATATTCAATGTAGGTGGATGCTAATTTATCAATTTGTGCCTTCAAAAGTTTGGTAATTTATCTAGTAACAGAAAAATAATGAACCAGGGTTTTACTTAATGTCTGTGTGTTTGATTTTAAGATTTTATGATACATTTTGAGTTTAATCGAATGGTCAGCAGTAGTATACAATTCTTCACACTGAATAATACCACACCGCTTGGATTAGTTTCACTAAATTTGAACTTATGATTGAAATCCGTAATTTACTATATCTTAACGACGATGTATACTATCAAGAACTCTGATTTCGGAAGAAAACTTTTAGGATAATTAGAGTTTTGTTCCTACTTTCACTAAATGTGTCAAAACTAACATGTCTTTACAGTGTTGGGTAATTAATTTTGCCTTCATTGTAAATTTTGAAATTAAGCAGATATAAGCTGTTTAAGGTATGAAAAATTCGAGGTAAATAGGTTAAAGGACCTTATAATTGCATAGAGAAATGTAAATGTGAACAAGAGAGTATGAAATTGAAAATCTTACTTAGTATTTGTAGTCCCTTTACAGTTCAGTTTTTGATATTTATGAGTGACATGGGTAATAAATCATCATGATTGAGTAAGAATTACTATAGCACATTTTCTGGCTCATTTTTTAACAGCAAAAATTAAAACACAAAACCTCTCAGAGTTCAATAATTTACCTGAAAAAATCAAAGCACCGTTTAGAGTCATTACGTATGATTGTGTTGATGATTATAGTTTACTATTTTACCCATCCATCTCTCTGTGATTACCTTTTCTCGCAATCCATCAAGTCTGTATCATACAAACGAACAATATTTCCGATCCTGCTTTTCTTCTCTGATATTCGATCTTTAGGTTATTCAAACTGACTGTCGTAACATTGATATCATTATTAGTACAATGATAAAAAGCATATCTGTAATACGTGTCTAAGTTTGTTTAGCGAGGTGAAAAATTTATTTTCCAAGTTATTTCCATTTTAACTTCAGTCTTCGATTTTAACAAGTCAGTCACCTGAAGATGAAACTAATGTATAACGATTTCAGTAAATTATGAAAAAACTTTATCAGGATCAACTGAGATTTTGGATTAGTCTGGTTGTTTCAGTAAACAGTATTTGAGTTCTCTTTAAAGCCAAACAAATCAAGTGTAACACAACGTACTTTATAACATAAAATGAACAGTCTTCTCACATAGTTGAATTCACATGCTTTTTGACAAGTAACATTTGTGATGAATAGTAGTATTTAATCTAATTTACTCACTAAAAATTCCTAGATATGTTCAGAACGTAAAAATAAAACGACACTCGATTAAAAAATTAGATTATAAACGCACGTGAAGTTATTTTATTAGGATCAAAATAAGGCGAGCATTAGTGTACAAAACAGTTATCACTTAGCAAAACATCACACTTGAACACAAAATTGTCAACCTTTTAAACAAATAACGGCAAGATTTTCACATTTCTAATAATATCTGATATGTCAGCAAACAGTTGTATCTTGTTTGTTTATTGTAAAACTACAAAAAGAAATGATTGCTCCGCTTATATGGCTATAGGTTTCATATTGTCCACATTGTATTTTAATAACGTTATCACATGCATTCTATGAGGGACTTTCTGCACATCTAATGGTTGACAGTAGAACATAACAAAAATTCATCAAATAAAAGTTGTTTGAGATTTTAGGTAAGTTTTTAAGTAGCCAGACTTACACCTTTAAAAAGGCTTGTATGAACCCCACTTAAATCAACATATATCTAAATGAACAAAGTTGCCTGATCATATTTTACTAGTACTGTTTGTAAGGCATCTAACGAAGTTTCTTACAACTACAAGTGACTTCTATGTGGACACTACCAAACGGTTTTAGGAATTCTTTTCTACTAATATTCTGATGGATGATATTGTTTTGTTTAGATGACTATTGTACCTATTTGGCCTTTCAATAATTTCTTTGAAGGGTTCAAATTCTACAAGAAAGGTTGAGTCCAATGTCATCTACTCGATTAATCGACAACAAATGTATGGGGAAACTTTGTACAGAGGATTCTTAATGGATCAGTATCGTAAAACGTTAAGGAGTTCAATCAGAACACTTCTCATAGACCTTTCATCATCTCTTCTTTAGTAAAATACTATTTAACACTGTCTCACATAATTCACATCGAAAGACTATCATCCATGAAATTAAACTAAACAGATGAATTGACATGTGCATATGAAAAGGAATATCCTATGGTTTCCATTAAAATGAATATCCGTTGAACAAAATTCTCAGCTTTAATGTAGAAAATGTTCTGCGAAATGAGTTTAAAATTTCCTTCAATAGAACGTTAGTCTCCAAGTCATCTTTAAATTGCAGGTTCACTTATAGCACTTCAACATGCCCACGATGTTGTTTCTAGGTATTTTAAATTTAAGTTACTACTTTGTATTGCTGTAAAAGCTGGTTTTTGAACGGGTTTTCAGTTGAGCAGTAGTTTATTCTTTTGACATGCCGAAACTGAAAGTATGAATGGAGAAGAATAGCCACATCATGGAGACATTCTATGATCAATTCTTGTTGGTTATCATATCATGAGAGTGTGACGGAATTTCGAGCTTTACTTTAATTGATCACTTGGTAATAATCGTTAACATTTTAATTTCATAATAATCATAAAAGAATTTGGAATTGACCATTAATGTTACCGACCTAACATTATAATATACTCTTAACTGATATCCACTCGTCGAATTTAATTGCCGGTAATCCCTGGAATTAGGTTACATGCTGTTTGATATTCATTGATTTTTTCCTGCAATTTTGAGGTAACTGGTGATAGCTGTAGTATCGCAATCCAATCAAGGGATTTTGTTGTTTCAGAATTTCTATAAAATCATATAGATCCAAAAATGAAATACTGTCAAGCAAAAACTGTAGCTTATGGAATGTCACACAAAATGCGACTGAACATTATTTAATTTATATACACACATAGTACATAGGCAAAACAATAAAGTAACCTTACTAAATAAAAACTGTACATTCGATTGGGTTTGTAAAATGTTGCGATTATATGCTGTTTACGATTTTGAAAATATCAAACTTCTCATAGAACATGGTTTTAATGTTTTTATCACCAAAACTGTAGTGAGTTTAATTTGATCCTATTAAGATATCTCGTACTGCTTGCACCACATATCAATTAATATTCACTAAATAATAAATGTGAGTTTCCTTCAAATCCAAGCAAATAAACTCACTAATACATAACTGAAGTAAGTCATATTTTTGAAATAATCAACCCCAGAAAAATCAGGTTATGATACATATTATTTTATAGTAGCGTGTACTCAAACACTTTGATCCTTATCTCACTGGTGTACAGGTAAACATCTCGATTTCGACAACCCATACACAGGCTTAGGACTAATGTTTAAACATTTAATTACCGGTAGAGATTAAAACTGACAATTAGTTAACATGATGATATCCCAAAACCTTCATGAATTTGGTGATCGTTAACTTGAATGTTACGTTTTCTAGATACCAATATATTATGTTACTCCAATGTAACCGTTTAAAAATCAGCAGCCCGTAAGAGAAATAATTCCACTTCACAAAATCACACTGAGTGATTTACAAATTATGAAAGTATAAAGTTGAGCAGTGCATAATTATCATGCTGTAAACCCGTTTAAACCAGCTAAATATTTGTGAAAAATGTATGAAAACAGTTTATAATGTTTGAGGTCACATATGGTTTTGACACAAGTAGGCGACTATACACGATAAGGAAGCCAAACATACATCAACCCAATGATTAATATGCTTGTAATAAGCGTGATTTATATATACAACATATATTCAACATAATAGCTGGGTTAGGTTTTAGCGTTCAACCGAATTCACATGAAAATGCATTATGAGTAACCTGAATATTTACATCATATTGCTTTGGGAACTCATAAAAGTTAGTAATGTCATCAGTGAATTCAAAGCTGATAATCAATACTAAAACCAGGGATGGGGATTATTCTGTGCAAAGACTGCATTGAATTTTAATTTCTTTAAAAACATTAATCTATAACTTGCTTTAAAAAGGAGATTAAAGAATTTAGGATAAATTTTAAGAAAAAACACTTCAAACTGCTTACCATTAACACAGAATGTGAGGAAATTTTGCGAGATTATTAAGAATGTTAATATTACAATTCTGAAGACTAATACAACTATCGCTTGATGAATTAGATGTAAATAAATTAAGTGAATTAGACAAATTATAACTGATATTAAAGAAAGCCTGCAGTCATGGATGTTATATCATTACTCAAAACTGATTAAATGAAAATGGAAAGTAATCCAATTGTTTAGTCATTTAAACAGGTGGTCATATTTTAAGACTAGATAAATCAATCTCTATTTTGGGTGACAATATATTTTGTTCATTTGCCAATTCAACAAAAGTCGAATCTAATTTAGGTAAACGAACATGTTTAATAATTTTCGAGGTGAAAAGAAGTCCAGTGAATTGTGAATATTTTGTTTATATATTTATAATCATTTATCAGAGCTTAACATAAGATAGTGTACCGTTTTAATGTATTAACAAATTTATTGCTAAAATTTAATCGTTAATCATATT